ACAAGTCACCCTGAAGCCTGTGTGTGCTGGACATCACAAGCACTCGTGTGACCTGGTGGTAAAAGGGGGCCACAGTCAATAATGACATTGCCTACCTGCACTGTGCGTGCCTATGAAGACAGGGATTTACTACTATTAAGCAGACCCTTAAATTTTATTTAATTATTCACCTAGGACTTGTGTTATTACATAAAAGAACAAGTTAAAATATTTTTTCTATTTTTTATCACTTGTGGTACAGGAAGCACAAAAATCTTTCAGATAGTTTCTTGTTCATGCTATTATTATAAGTGCTTATAATGTTACCAATATTAGAAAATAAGTGGTTGCTTAATTATTAATTTTGACATGTACAGAGGTACAATCAGGTATTCAATTCAAAGCAAAATTTGATCATGTTTCTTTACTAGACTTTAAAGACCTATCATTTGAGAGAAAAACAGAGCTCACGTCACAATCACACCTTAACCACGTCATTGGTTTTTGGCAGTACCTACACTGGTGAACAGCTATTTTCAAGGATGAAGCACAAGAAAATTAGATAAAAAAAATTTTTACAAGCACAAGAACCCACTAAGAACTGCAACCATTTCCATCGAACCAGATGTTAATACATTAGTTTCACAAGAACAAGGTAAATCACTAGTTTTACGTTGCCCTTCAAAAAAGTTTTAATAATTATATAAAAAGACAGTTTTGTTATTTATTTACTCATTAATTCATTCAGTTAATTTTTGTGGGTTTTTTTGGGGAGACAGTTTCACTTAGTAGTTCAGGTTAGCCTTGTACCTGTTGGCTTTGAATATGCAGTGATCCTCCTGCCTCAGCCTCCGGAGTGCTGGGATTACAGGTGGGTAATCCACCACACCCGGCAATTTTGTGACTTATATACATTAACTATACATTTTACATGCATCTAACTCCTTTTCACTTAGTGTGGCCCAGGCAAGCCCACAGGGTAGACATAATGGTTTCCGCAGAGCCTCACCTCGCAATGGTCACTGTGTCACTCTCCTTCCCTGGCTTCCAGGGCCTACAGACCCAAGAAGAGTACTGAACCAAAGTGAAGCCACCCCAGGTGTGACCTTACCCCACTTACCAATTGGCTCCATATATCCTGTAACACAGAGCTGGCCATAGTTGCCTGGGAGGGCCTGTGTTTCCGGCCTTTGCACATGCTATGCGTGCTGCCAGGAAGCTGCCTCCCTTTCTTCAGGCCAGTGCCTCACCCGCCGAACACGGACTAACTTAAGGCCAGCTGCCCTGGGACCCTTCCCCAAACCTCCTCCCAGTCTTGCCCTGGATCAGGTAATTTCTCCTTTGGGTTCTGAGCTGCTAGGTTCACTTCTGCTAAAGTATTTATGGCCAGTTCCTCTCTGGAGGTGGCTTTTCAAGAGGACAGCTCGTGTTTGCCTGGTCTAAACCAGGGCAGGCTCTCTGCTGGTGCTCATGAATTACTCTATTGCAGATTCAGCAGCAGGGACATGGCGGAGGGCGAGGCCAATAAGGGTGGAGAGTCAGCCAGCAGGCTGAGGATGTGCAAGTGGATTGGGAGGGGCAGCAGCGAAGGCCGTGTGTGCTGGGAGGGGCAAGGGGGTGGAGGGAGGCAGAGAACCCCGTCTAATTAGACCACATGTGCAGAGCAGCATCTGGCTCCAAGCACAGCAGTTTCTATTGCTCCTGGAGTTGTCGTGGAGACAACCACATGACCGGCTCGGAGCCGAGGCTCAGGGGCAGCAATCCAGATGCACTCCTAACATATTCTGACAGAGAACAGATGGGCAGCTATTTGCAGGGCCAAAAAATGCCAGCTCCACTCCCCTCCAGACCTGCGTGCCCTCACCGATCATTTTCATCTTGTAAAGTCATTCTTATCTGCCCTGGAACCACCAGCTCCTCTGGATTAGTGATCAGTGTGAGAGCTGCTGCACTTCAGGCCTGTTGTGGGTGAGATGTCACAGCCTTTAATGAAGGGGTCTGGAATGCCAGGCGCCTCTGCCACAGTGTGGCACCCACTCTTTCTCGATTAAGACTGTTAAGTTTCTCACCCTATAGGCCTCATCTAACAGATCCAGGCCTGGAGGTAAGGCAGAGTGTGGGGAGCACTCCAGCCCTAGCGGCTGATCTAATGGTACTGGCCTTAGTATGAAACTGTTCTAAGCTCAGTTTACCACTCTGTGAAGGGGGTTTATAAGACCGTCACAATATTATTCTAAGGACTGAACTCAATAATTATGGGAAAGCCCTGAAAACCTTAAAACTCTATATAAATGTGATGCTGTTACCCTGGTAAATTTTGACTGGGATGAATTTTTCTTTAAATCTCAAAAAATTTTGAGCAGAAAGCTCCTATCAGATGAGCAGAAGAAAATGAAAAATTTTAGGGCCACATAAAACCACATTACTTATGTGTACAGTGAATCTCTCTCTCTCTCTCTCTCTCTCTCTCTCTCTCTCTCTCTCTCTCTCTCGGCAGTACTAGGAATTGAACCCAGGGCCTTCAGATATCCCAGCTTTTCTCATTTTTTATTTATTTTGAGGCAGGGTCTTTCTACGATCCTAAGCCCAGGCTGGGCTCAAACTTTCTATCCACCTACTTTATTGGACAGTGCTGGGATTAGAGGCATGCACCACCGTGCCCAGCCTGTCTCTCCTTAATATTTGGGTTAAGGTGGGAAAAAGTTTAGTGTCAGAAATTAGGCTGGGGTTGGGAAGCTGGCTCTGATGTCTGAGTCGTGTGATCTCTAGGAAGTAACTTCAACTTTCTATAGCCTGTTTCTTCATCTGTAAAATAAAAACACTATCATTTCCTATGAATTTATTCAAGTTGTGAGAATTAACTAGGACAATACTATCAGCTCCGTAGCACATGGTAGGCACTCAGTAAATACTAGCTTCACTTCCCTTTTCTCTGTTCACTTAGTAGGATCAAATACACTTGAGTAGCCAGCATAGTAGTTCATGCCTATTATCCTAGCACTTGGGAGACTGAGGCAGGAGGATCTCTGAGTTCTGGGCCAGTTAAGACTACATGATATGTTCAAGGTTAGCCTGAACTATACAGCAAGTCTCTGTCTCAAAAACAACCCCCCCCCCCCAACAAGGACAACAAAACCCAACCAAATAACACAATAACAAATACCATCCCCAAACAAACAAACAAACAAACAAGGTTGAAAAGGGATAGAATGCAAAGCACAGATTCAGCTAAACTGGGCTGGAATTCCACTTGTTCCCGGTCTTAGGGAGGCATGCATTTCTCCTGAGCCTCAGCTTCCTCTCCTGGAAAAGCAGGACTGTAATAGGACCTATCTTATTATGTTGTGTGATCTAAAGGGGAAAAAAAAGATCATAAAGTGGTTAGCACCTAATAACAGTTGTCATCTGATTATCCTATTTTAGTGCAGAAATCCTCCACCACTTTGGGAAAAATCCTATCTTTTCTGTAGTTTATCCTGTGCCACTCTGTCTTTTGAGGGGAAATGCATTGCATGTTTGGTGTTTGAGAAATAAGAGGAAGCAAGGATCCTCGCTGGAGGTGTGGGCTGCTCAGGGCATGCATACCTGAGGATGGTCCAAATCCCCAGCCAGCCGCCTGAGTCGTATTTGGGCAGCCCGTCCAGGTGCACACAGGGATATTTATAAAACACTGCAGGGGCTCCCACCACTGCACACTGCCTGCCATCGCAGGTGTGGGAAAGGTCTGGCTACAAATACTGCCGACGTGGGCTTAATGTCGCCCAGCAGAGACTAATGATTGTTTTAAGTAAATATTAATTATAAGAGTTACCCAGATAGTGCTAGAGTGGCAGGCACACTTCTGCACCTACATATGTAGGTGAAGTGGTCATCTGGGGAGGCAGATTCTTATATGGCTCTTCCAGGAATTTAAAGGAAGGCAAGTTTTAAATATTGCAGAACTCTTGGTTAAAGTATTTGATTAATGTCTCAGTATGTAAGGTACAGGGATTCCTTACCTGAGATGTGCTCTTCCCCAGACTAAATAGCTGATTTCAGCTCTACTGGATCCTTTGCATGAATACTCATCACAGTGGTGTGGAGAACCAAGATTTGACTGCAAGCCAGTAGACAAGCTGGCTGATCCCTGACAGGCATATACCCACGAACCCACATGTGAGGGGTCATCCACCTTTGGTTGTGTTCTAGTTCTAGTGCTCTGCATCCTCTTGGGAATCTTTGCTCCTTCTTTGAATTTGTTTTGTCACCTTCATGGGAAACTAATATGCACTAATCACTTTAGCAGTGGTTTTTACATCCTTTGGCAAGTGGGCCCTCACCCTGGCAGGCTCTTTAATGTGCACGCTTGGGCTGTGGTTTGGCCTGTACGAAGCCGCTGGAGTGATTCCAGTGCATTTGAGGACCCAGGGTGGGAGGTGGTGGTGGAAGTGGCAGAGCAGTGACAAGAATGGCACAAGAAAAGCAGTGACTTGAATGTGTTTTGCATGTGCCAGGTGCCTTTCTAGCATGTCAAAAATACTCATTTAAACCTCACAACCCAGGAGGTTTTATGTTTTCCCCGTTTCACGGGTGGGATCTGAGGCAGGGAAGTATAAGTTAACTTCTCTAGATTAGCATAGGCACATTTGTTGATTGAATGTAAACAAATAATTGAGATTATTCCACATGGTTCTGGAAAAGAGTAGGTTTTTCAGAGGGGTCTTTTCCATCTTGGCTTTTCAAGGGTACAGCCCGTGTTTGCCTGGTCTGTACCAGGGCAGACTCTCCCCCTGTGGTACACTGAAATTATCAGTCATGGGCCATGGCATGCACTGGGCAGCCTGACATTCTGATTTCCTAGAACTTGGCTCCTGACCTTTTTGTCCCCTAAATCTCTATGTCCTAAGTCATTTTTGTGATAATAATGCCAAGTGAGGGAGGGAGGACTGCATCTGACCAATAAGGTTGGAGACAGACCAAAGCCAGATTACCCAACTCAACCATACTGTTCACTGGAAAAGTTTCCATTTCTGCTGTTACAGCCACACTACTAAGTCTTGGAAGGACTTTGGATGGCACTCAGGAGATGGGCTGAAGGCTGTGCTGGGAGCACTATGGTGGCTGGATTTCTTGTCGTTTTCCAATGAGGCTCGCCCATGAAATGATGGACAATCTGGATCTCAGGGGATGGCAGACTCTCCCAACACAGTGGCTAGCAGGTATCTCATCTTTGGGAATTTTGAATCACTATGATTAGTCCTCTTTCCTGATGATGATGATAATGTTAGCAGCGACCATTTCTTGAGAGCCTACTCTGCACAAACAATATTTATTCTAGCTATCAACAGTTGTGCTGAATAGTTTAGGGGGTGTGTACTGGTATCTGCTACTTACTCTGAAATGCATACAAAATAAGATCCACTGACAGATATGCAATAAAACAAGCACAGTACAATGTCCACAGCACTATCTAGATGATAGGTAGGTCTAATAAGATCTTTTTGCACTGTAAGATTCTTTTCTATATGTTTGAACATCTTTATAATAAAATGTTTGGTAGAAAACTCACAAGGGGACATTAAGTGCCAGAACTTCAGTGGAGCAGACTGGCGACAAGATGCATTATTCCACAAGTTATTTGTCTTGAGTTATTTGTTTTTCACAAGTTATTTGCCAACCATGACATCATGTTAATTCAATTTATTGCTATAGGAAGATTTTAAAGGGAGTTATAAATGAGAAAAAAATGATTTCTTGTGCATGTACTATGAGCCAGGTCTGGAGTAAGCACAGGGACAACAAGGATTAAGCCAGTCAAAGCCTCCCTGCTCCCTGACTGTGAAGCTCAAACAAGAACACATGCAGAATATGTGGCAAGCATGGAAGGGCGTCTACAGACCTGGGAGGAGAGTTCTGAGAGATCAAGTGACTTGCCCAAGTCCATGTAACAAGCAGGTGGGGTGGAGTCTGAGTCTAGAAGTTGGGATTCTTTCCCCTGTCACCTGCCATCTTGGAAAAACCCTTATTTGCTCTCCACGAGAAGAGCTACAAGGAAAACTGGCATCCCAAAGCCATTTCCTTTTCAATCCTATCATCAGAGCCAGTCCTAGAACATCAGCAAAGCAACTGCTGCAGTGTTAACCCCTGTCACTTGGGAAACCCGTTAGTTTTCAAGGTGGCTTGTTAATGGCTGTATCACATGACCCATGCAAAGCCCCACAGGACTCTGGAATTCCTGCCATTTCAGCTCACGTGACCAGGCCTGGCGCTTAGGGGCTGGAGTGACAGGCTGTTTGCCCAGCCTTCCTTTCCCTCTGGCCCATAGCTGGTGGGATGTGTAAGGGCTGGTGAGCTTGGCAGGAAGAAAAGAGAAGCTGACCAAAGAGAGTATTTGGACTGGACAGTAACATGCCTTTTGCTGCCCACTTGGCTTGTTTACCCCTCTCAGAAAATGAAGGCCCTTTGTCTATAACCTCCATGAGACCAGATAATTCTTCCTCTCCTATGGTGGCCCTTCAGGAGTTTCTTGTTTCCAGAGAAGCTCCTGGCAGGTTACTGTGTGGTTCTAGCCAGGGACTGTCAAAGGACTTCCAAGAAGTCTTGCAAAAAGCTTTTATTTGGTAATGATAAATAGGAAGTCCAATATCGGTTGAATTGGTTTTACTGGCAACATATTCTGGTATCAGGGTTCTCCCCCATCACCAAATATGAACTTGTAATTTGAGGTACTTATAAACAAAGTTGTTTGAGAAATACAAGATAAAAGATCTTCTGCCAATGGGATGTTTTACTGTCTAAAGTTTCTTACCCATGAGACCTTCAACTGGCCCTGAGGAACTGCCTTTCCTGGTTCCCAGACTGCCTCTCCTGCCTAGATAGCAGCAGGTATTCTTCCCTGGGTCCCTGCTTCCGGCTCTCTCCACCTGATCCTGCTGTCTCACCACGAGGGGAGGCTTCCTGAAGCACCCCTCTGATCACGCTGGCTAAGTCCTTCACTGCCTTTGTGACAAGCTCCAAGGCTCTTCTAAGCCAGCATGCCAGTCCCCCAAGACCCCTCTGGCTACACTTCCTGACAACCCCACCTCCTCAAAGTATTAATCCCTGCCAACCATCTGAAGCCTCCTGTGGGCAGTACCCCAGGCCGTTTCAACTCTCTTGCTTTTGCTCACACTGTTCCCTTTGGCTGGAATTCCTTTTTCATTGGGGCCAACTTCTACTCATCTTGTAAGCCAAGCTCAGGTGTCAGGGCCTCCAGGAAGCCACGCTTGTTCCTGTGGCCACACCCATCTATCTCTTCCCCTGGGCTTCCATGGTACCCCAAGCTTACCTCTATTACACTGTGTAACAGTTCCTGGCTTATCTGCCAACTCCCCTTTGAGAACCTGTGCTCTTTACAGCTAGGGAGTGAACTATTCTCTTCAGCTGCTATCACCCACATGTCTGGCCTGCATCTATACATTGAATGAATGAATGAATGAATAAATGTTCTACACTCTTGTATGGGGGTGAGTCCCATGAAATCTCAGCAGCATGCTGGAAAGTAAAAGAATACTAAGATAGCCTGAAACAGACACACACTATCCCGGAATTCTTCCTATAGCAGACGGCATCACAGCAAGGCTGCAATTATAGACATGCGCGTGCACACATGCACACATTGTTTAAAAAGATTCACAGAATGCACTTAGCATGGACTTTTTTCTTGTTGGAAACCTGTTTACAATCTTGTCCACTGTCAGTCTTAAATGTCACTCTTCAGAAAGATGGCTGCTGCCAGGAGAAATTTATTTTCAAATTGAATCACAGCATGTTCATGCAGAGAAGCGCTTCTTTTGAATTTCCAAATTGGAGGGAATTCAGGGAAGAGAAAGTGAGGTGATTAGAATGTGTAAAGGCTGATTCAGAAGGAAAAATTATGAGGCTAAAATATGCATGGGTGAGCTAAACAGCAGCTATTAGTTGGTGGAGATGGTAGGGGTGGGAGTGGCGACTACCTATAAGCCACCAGAACCCTAGCAAGCATGAGTGGGACAGGACAGGAGAACAGAATGAAAGGGTGGGGACAAAACCCAGGCAGGAGGAAGGGGGTGTGCACATGTCCAGACTGCCCGCCTGTGCCAGGTCTGTGGAAGACAGAGTCCCTCATCTACCTTTTCTTGGCAGTTATCATTATTCTTATTTGAAAGGTGAAGAAACAGAGGCTCTAAGAGATTAGAAAACTCACATTAGGAGTGGTGGGTCAGGTTCTACCAGCCAGTCTGTAACCAGCTAGTGACGAGGCACTAGGCAGAGGTCTGCAGTAATGTAGCTGCCTCTGCTGTTTAGGTGTGATCATGGAGGGCGTCCTGGAGGTGGAACACTGGAGGTGAACTGGTTATACTGTACTTATTTGTGCCAGTGCAGAAGTCACCAGTTTTTAGGAAAGTTAGAACTCTGCAGGAACATTATCATTTTTTTAAAAGCAAAAATACACACTTTATCAAGTCAGGGCCCCTTTGCCTATCATTTCCCTGCCTGTGTGTACTAATGCTTCAGGACCCATCTCAGAGATCTGTCTGTGGAAGACCTATCATACATTTGCAAGGAAGGTGAATGGTCTTGTTTATTGTTAATTTAGCAAGTGGTTACTGAGAGCCTGGGGGTATCTGCCCTGGAGTCACCAGCTCAGGAGGTCAAGCAAGCTCCCAGATCCATCTGGGATAACGGCTTTGAAGGAGAGGAGAGGTTTGCTGCTGGGAGTGCCATGGCAGGTGCTGACGGCAGGTCTGAAGGCTGTGGAAACTCTTCCTGGGGAGGTGACATGGGCTGAGAGGATAAACCAAAGATTGCCAGGCCTTATAGGATGGGATGTGCAAGGAACTAAGAAGTGGATGTGTAAGGAACTCTGGCTGGAACAAAGGAGGCAGGGGGAGGAGCAAGAGCCAAGGCTGGGTGGAGGCCAGCTGGACCCTCTGAGGCCCTTTTGTCTTAGGCACTGGTGAGTCTTAAACCTGGGGTGGCTGGAGGGCGGGAAGAGCAGACAGTAGCACTCTGGAAGGCTCGTTTGGCCTTAGCAAGGCCAGTGCTCGGTCAAGGGAATCCAGTGGCATCAGGGTGCCCAGTGAGGCAGTTGCCAGGGAGTCCAGGGAGAATATGGAGAATGAAGAGGCAGCAATGGGAAGAGGAGAATTCGAGGGTGATTATGGGAGGCAGGAGCTGACAAACTCTCACAGCCTGGATTTGGCAGACTGACCACCTCTCACAATGGGCAGATCACTCTGGAGAACTGGGTAGGACTAAGTGCAACTCACCAGGCCCTCTCCCCTCTGAGAGTTTAGTAGCCACCTTGGCAGGGACTGTCTTCAGCACACAGGAATTCCTAACCAGGGGCTGGCACCCAGAGGTGCTCTAGAGACATGGGTGGGCCATTCAGCTCCTTCTCCCAGGTGTCTGATGATCCTCAAGGCTGCCAAGAACCTAGGAAATAAATGCCAAGCAGAGCAAAGTCCAGGCCTTCCCAGATCACTCCTGTGTGCAGATGGTCTCTATATGGAAAGCACAGGACTCTCAGCCTGGGCGTGGGGACTCAGATCTTGGCTGATCCATCCAAGTTTGCCTGTCTTATGCTCCGTAGGTTGGGACTGATATTCTGTGGGTGTATATGTGTGCTGGGGAGGTACAGGCTCTACTGAGGGCTAGGCTGAGATTCCTGGCTCTGTTACTCACTGTCCATGTGACTGTGGGAGAGTCTGTAGTTCTCTAAGCCTCAGTGGACCACTGTAAAATGATTTCATATGCAGTACCTGACTCAGGGTTTGACATACATAGAGATGGAAGGGCTGGCAGACGTTTCTATTGCCCACAGTTGGGACAGAGTTTTGTTAAAAACCATTCTTTATCTCCTACGACTATGTAGCAAACTGGCTAGCATCTCCTAGCAATTGTTGCCATCTAATACATTCTATTAAATATTACATTTACTTATTTTAAAATTTGTCTAAATCTGGTCAGAATGACTTGGTTCTGTCTGAGTTGGCAGCTCTGGTCTTTTGGAAGCCTGTGCTCCTATCCTGAAAGTTTCTCATTCAGAATCCAACAAGGACTTACGCCAGGAAACTCTTAATGCTATGTTCCAAGCCACTTAGTAAGCCACTAGATAGCGGGCCACACAGTAAAGGGAGCAACATCCATTTTGCAGACAGATGGATCACCCACTACTACCTAGCAACAAGGTGTCCTATAGGAACCTATGAACCTCTAAGTGGTGGTAAAGGGCTTTGGGCTTGAATCTCAGTCACTTCTGATCCATTAGAGCATACACAGGGAGAACCATGCAGCAATCTTTTCCAGACAACTGATAGGTCCCTCTCTTGCCTTAAATCCTTCAATAGCTGTCATGCCCTCACCATGGCTGCCCCACTACCTATCAGCATTTATTAAGCACCTACTGTGTACTGGGTCCTATGCGAGGCACTAGGGAAGATGGAATGGACAAGAGGTCCAAAGTGCCGACCCTGCATTTGAGGGCCTCTGCTCTAGCCCTGCCTCTCTTGCCTGCTCACTGCTTCTCACTCCCCGCCAGGGTGTATACTCCCACTGCACTACGGGGTTGCAGCCTGTGAATGCACAGGGCATGCTCTCACCTTGGAACCTCTGCTCACATACCTACAACAGTGATGATGAACCCTTTAGAACGTTCATAAACAGCCTGCTATGCCACAGATTTGCCACCACTGGCCTGGATGGTCATTGGCCAGAGGCACCACTTGGCTGCATGACTCTTGCCTTCTCCCAGCATCACCGTTCGACATAGACCTAAAGTCTTTGCTGCCCACCCACTGTCTGTATCTTCCCTGGAGTCCCTACAGTTGCCCAGTGAGCACCCTGCTTCCTTAGTGCACAGCAGGGCACAAAAGGGGGGCATGAGCAAGAGACCACAGAGACCAACGGACCTGTTCCGCTGTGCCCTGGGGGAGGTGACATCCTCCTCTGGCTTTCATCTCCTTTTCTGCAATATGGACATGGTTGCGTCTGCCTGAGTGGTCTTTTGCGAACTACAGAAAATCTGACGGGTAGGACATAAACAGTGGCCACCAGAATGGTCTGCACAGTCTCTGCCCATTGACCTTGGTAGACCGGATTGTCAACAAGCCAGCTGAAGGTTGCCCATGTGAGGGACAGGGCCTAGTATCCTTGGGATGATTACATGCAGTCTTGGGGAACTCTTGTTTCTTGAAATAAAAAGCTCTGTTGGTGTTGAAAGAGTTAAGATCTGTTTGTGATGATAAACAAGCTCCACTTCAGCTCAGCACTATCACTGGGTGTGAGTCACAAGGCTTAGCAGGTGTGGGCAATAATTAAAGGCTTCAGCAATCTACCTGGGCAAGGTATTTTTGCCTCTTATTCCAAAGAGGAAACTCTCTCTATGGAGAGCAGAGCAGCTCATTAATGAGACTAATTAGGTGGAAAGGGGGTAGAGGCTGGCATCAGCTGCAGCTCGGAGGAGCGAATCATTAAGCTCTGTAATCTCCTCCGCTGAACACAAGCAGATCAGGCTCAGGGCAGCTATCGGGGCTCCCACACCTGAGAACCTGACCATGGCTTGGAGAGCTGAGGGGCCTTACCTCACCCCTGCCATACTCTGCCAAGATTCATTCTCTCTCTCTCACACACACACACACACACACACACACACTGGGAGATGTGCACAGCATGGGGTCAGCTGTCAGGGAAAGAAGCCAGCTCTTCCATCAGGATGCTTTTCTCTTGGTGCTCACTTACCTTTGGGAAGCATGGGGCTTCCTGGGTGTAAGGAATGAATCAAAGAATCTCCTCCTCAGCCTCCAGATGTGCAGGATAAACTCTCATATCAAGACTTCCAGATCTTCTAGCCATCACTCATATTTAGCTAGCACTGGAGCAGGTTTTGCTTCCTGTCTCTCTCTCTCTTCCCTGGCCTTTGAGCTCTGAGACCTAGGAACAGGGGCTGATTCCCTCTGGATCTTCAGTGGCAGCCACATCCCAGGTGTCACTGGCACACTGGACACCTGATGTGATGGGTGGATGGTGGGTTGGAAGAGAACAAGTGCTCTACCACTTTTCCAGCTCTTGGCTTTGGGTGAGTTAAAACCCCTTTAAACTCTAACTTTTTCATCCGTAAGAGAAACACAATAAGGTCGTACAAGAGTACTTTCAAAAGTATAAACCACTAATAGAAATAACTCACTTTTAATTACAGACTTTAACACTTCAGAAGAAGGAAGGAAAGTGGGAAAATAATTCCAAGTCCTCATAGTGGGCTT